CCCCCCCACACACACACACACACAAGGCTGAGGCTTTGATGGGCCGGCGAAAGGAGAACTCAGAATGGCAATCTTCTCTGCACCACTGTGCCTGCATCATCATTTGGGTTTGGGTTTGGGTTAATGTTAACGATTACAATCAAACAAAGAAATGACATTTGAGTCATTCTGACTCTGATTCTGACAAGTTTTTCTAACACCAGAATAAAATATTTGAATCTGCCCTGCTCATGTTGCAGTCAGTATTTCTTCATTACGTTCCACCCTCAGTTTATCTAAATTAAACCCTGGCTCACTTTGTCCACTTTGCCTCAGGACCCAAACACCCGTAGTGTTTTAACAGCACCTTTTTAAAAGGAGATGAACAAAATGATGACTGCGTTTTCGATTACGGTACAAACCCCCCCTTGGTTTGTCTGTGCAGATTTTTCCAGCTTCTTTCCATCCTTCAGTGCTTTACTACCATTTAAGGGCTGTTGGAAAGAGGGATGAAAGCACTTTCTAACCAGCTGTGTGCCAGGAATAGAGTGAGCAGGCAACCGATAAACGTGACACTTGTACCTACAAATTCACAGCAATAATAATTTCCCTCACTGGACATATGCGCTCTGAGCCTTCATTGGAATGAAACCAGTCAAGGTTTTCTTTTGTTTGTCTAATGGGTAGAAAAATTGCACAGCTGGATCTTGCATGGAAAAACAAGAAATTTGTAGGTCTCACTTTAAGGTGTATTTTTAGTCCTTTTTACAAGAGTTAAAATAATTATTCCATCTCTGTTTGCCTTATCCTGCAGTTGGTGCCTTGTCGTGCTGCTTTGTGTCTTGGCTACGTTTTAGAAAAACCACTGGAAAGGACAGACGACTTCTGTGGATGACTTTGCAAACGTGGATCTGGAATACCTGAGCTGGGGGGAAGGTGTAATTGCTGGGGGGTTAGCAAACAAAAGGGCTTTTTGACACAGCAGCGTAGGTGTAGTGAAGTGAAGATTAGATCCACAGAGCGATACAGATCGCTCATTCAGTCTGTCCCAACTGACCGTCCTTGAGGAATATTTTAAAGAATCCCTTCACCTAGATCAGACGTTGTGTTCAACCAGTTAATTTCTACTTTTTCAGTTCAAATTATGGCATTACTGTTTTAGTTTTCAAATTTAAAGGCTGATATTATACATCTTTAAATCACGACAACAAAACAGAAAAGAAAATATTAGATGACACAACAATCAGTTTTTTAGATCAAAACAATAAAACAGAACCCGTCTTCTGCTTGTTCCGAAGTCTGGTCGTGGGAGCAGCAGCTTGAGCAGAAAGGTCCAAACATCTTGTTCCATTTCTTCTGGGATGATTCCAAGGTGTTCCCAGGCCAACCAAGAGACATGGTCTCTCCAGCGTGTCTCCTTGGGGTCTCCTCCCAATCGGACATGCCCAAGAGAGGGCGCCCAGGAAGCATCCTTACAAGATGCCTGAATCACCTCAACTGGCTTCTTTCGATGTGGAGGAGCAGCGGTTCTACTCCGAGTCTCACCCAGATAACTGAACTTCTCATCCCCTCTGTAAGAGAGTCCAGCTACCCTGCAGAGAAAACTCATTTCTATTGCCTGTATCCGAGATCTCATTCTTTCAGTCACTACCCAGAGCTCGTGACCATAGGTGAATAGGAACGTAGACCAAACTGTAAACGGAGAGCTTCATCTTACAGCTCAGCTCCCTCTTCACCACAACGGACCAGCACAGAGTCTGCAATATTGCAGATGCTGCACCAATCAGTCTGTCAATCTCACGCTCCATTCTTCCCTCACTTGTGAACAAAACCCCAAGATACTTGAACTCCTCCACTTGAGGCAGGACCTCACCCTCGACCTGAAGAGAGCAACCCACCCTTGGCCTCAGATTTGGAGGTGCTGATTTTCATCCCAGCCTCTTCACACTCAGTTGTGAACCGCTCCAGTGAGAGCTGAAGATCACAGCACGATGACGCCAACAGGACCACCTCATCTGTAAAGAGCAGAGATGGAATCCTGAGGCCACCGAACCGGACTTCCTCCACCCCCTGGCTTCACCGAGAAATTCTGTCCATAAAAGTTATGAACAGAATCTGTGACTACGGGCAGCCCTGGTGGAGTCCAACTCCCACCCTGAAGGGGTCCGACTTACTTCCAGCAATGCAAACCAAACTCTCGCACCACTTTTAGGAACTGAATAGTCCGTAGCAACAGCCCCCAACCCCATACTCACGGAGCACCCCCCACAGTGTACCTCTAAGTCCACAAAAACACATATAGACTGGATGAGCAAACTCCCATGACCCCTCGAGGATCCTAGTGAGGGTAAGGGTAACAGAAGGTAAAACAGAAGCTGTAATGGCATTTAACAAATCACACAAATAAAAATAAAATGCATATTATAAATGATTAACCACCGTCACACGCTGTGCAAATGTTTTTCAAATTTTTTGTGGTTTTGCTACTTGTCGGTTACGTGAATGTCAGACAGATTTTCTGAAAACGTTTAGAACGTTTGTTTTTGCTGTTTCCATACACAATAGAGTGCAATATTTTTTTTTCTGTTCAGAATGGAGACTAAATTGTAAATGATGTAAGAAATCAGGAAAAAAAAACATAATCTGTCATATAATCAAGCGAACCAGTCCCTCTCCTGTGTGTTGAGATTCTTCTGGCTCTGCATATTTTCATTCCTTCTTTGTTTTTGTTCTTTTATTGGAACTGAGCTGCCATCACTTGTTCTTTCTAATTCTCTGTACAAAAGCAGGAACTGAGCTGGAGAATGTCTGCTGGCAGATTGTTCCTGCACCTCCACCAGTTTCAGAATATAAACTATTAGAGCATGTTGGACCTGACCTGCCTGGTCTGTTCTCAACAGGACTGTAGTTTAATTTATGTTGCTGCCTATAACTTGTGTCCCCTGGTGGGTTTGTACCATATGCATTGCTTTTAGATGAACCACCAGTGGTAATGAGCGCAGGCTCCTTCTAACTTTGGCCTTGATTACATCCTGCCTGACCGCTTCCTGTTTTTTCTTTCTGTTTCCTCCTCAGTGAATTAGCCAGCGGGGCTTCAGCTAACCTGCATCATTCCAGCCTTGAATCATGTTGGGGCCAACACGCCATAACCGGCCCCCTCACTTCTGACCCAACATGGAGCTCAAGGTCTGGGTGGATGGCGTCCAGAGGGTCGTATGTGGAGTCACAGAGGCAACCACCTGCCAGGAAGTGGTGATTGCTTTGGCCCAGGCCATCGGTAATTATCCCAATTTTTTAACAGCTACAGAAAACACACCTGGGACACAACCTGTTTTCTAATCTTTGTGAGACACATACTGTGGAGTTTTTTTTTATACACAATGAGGTCATAATGAGGTAAATTAAAAATGCTTTGGTTACAAAAATAAATAAAGACATTCTGAAGTAGCTCCTTTTTTAAGGAAAGTTTCCAGGTTTAGGTTGTGGATGGAACATTTGTTCAACAAAATTGGCTTCTTTGGAGGTTTGTAGTTTTCGACAATCCATTGAGCAAATTTTTATGGCATATTGATCCTGCACCCCCTCTAAAGGGCCACATACAGAACCAGGACTGTTAAAAAGGACCAGACCATCAGACAAAACAAAATTCTGCCAGTCTTTATTGGCCTCTGATAGTATATGCTGCAGCTGGACTATAAAAAATTGATCAAGTCGTGCTAAAATTTTAAAGGCTATATAGTTATTATAAATAATGAATAGTCATAAAAACATTTGAAATGCTTCAACAGCATTTTTTTTCACAAACACAAGCAACAAGTTCATAACAAAGTGTCTATTTTTGTACTTTTTTTTCCTCCATCAAAATAAATCTAGTTTTTGTTGGGTTAAATATGTAGACAGAGGCCATGTTGCACACCTGATGGATGGAAGGACGGCTACAGGGGGTGTCAGTGACAGAAGCTTCATCTGGATGTTATCTTCTCATGCATGGACAGTTTTCTCCTTGTTTCTGTTTTCTCAGGGCACGTTGCCCCAGCTGAGTTCTCTGATAAACTCCAGCAGAGAACAGCTTGTTTGCTTTTGTTTGAGATATCACTAAACTAATCAACAGCGTTCTGTTCTCCTCAGACTAAGCTCACTGTTTTCACTAAATTCAGTGATCCATCTCTCCTCATCTTGTTAAAACTCTGTGTTCTGCGTCAGTCTTTTTTATGGTGTGCTGACGTGATAACACCTAAACAGAATTGTTAATGCTACTAGTAAACTAGTGCACGTACAGGAAGCACCAAATATAAACATTATAGAGCCTGCCTTCAAAAATCCATGAAATCCATTAATTAAAAAAAAAACCTGGACTTGACCCTTCATCTTGCTCAAATTTCAAACCAAACTCAAAACTTATCTTTCTTTCTAAAATCCTGGAGAAGATAGTTTTTATTCAACTAAACAAGTTTTTGAATGAGAATGGAATTTTTGAGATCTTTCAGTCTGGATTTAAATGATTACACAGCGTCAAAACGGCTTTAGTAAGTGTTTGTTACAACATTCTGTTATCAAATGATTCTGGTCAGTTTGTGATACATGCACTCCTGGCCCTTACCGTTGCTTTTGATACCGTTGACCACAGTATCCTTATATCAAGGTTAGAACACTGGGTTGGGATTACAGGTGCAGCATTAGAGTGGTTCTGTTCTTATCTGAGTGACAGGAGTTTCTGTGTTAAGGATAGTGTCTGCTTCAATGCCTTTTTCCTGCGGGGTACCACAGGGCTCGATTCTTGGACCCCTTATGTTTTCACTCTTAACTGCTCCCTTTGGGGTCTATCTTGAGGAAACAGTGTCTTTCATTTCATTGTTATAAATTTATAAACTTTATAAATAGTTGTCTTGATTTGACTTGACAAAATAAAAACAGTCCAAAAGCCAGTTTCAAAATAAAAAGAGAGATTTTGGATTTGTGTGAATGATTTTAATTTCAGATTTTTCACTGACTTCCTGTGGGCCCATGTGTACCATAGCCTGAGCTCATAAACAATCATACTCCAGACTGATTTCTTGATTGGCAGCATCATTCTCAAAGACGTACATTTTCCTTGCAGTATTTTGACCATGGTCAGCTGGAATTGATTCATTTTTCAACCAGTTTTTGTCACAAATTGTGTGCATGGTTAAAAACTTCCAGACCACCAGTCAGTCAGACACCAATCCATTACTAGCCCCATAAACCCTGAACACTTCACTTTCAGGTAATTTTTCTGTTTTGTTCAAGTTTTTTAGTTTAATGTTCAGAACTGTTGCTTTTTTGAGCAAAGCTTTTGCAGTGTTTGTTTTTTGTCATAGTTGCATTTAAATTAAATTAGAAAATATTTGATTTATGTCCCTAAATAAATCAAAGAAAACTTTAAAAAAATAAAGAAATAAAAAGCCAAATCACCATAATGATATCTACAGCATGAGCCAAAGAGCTGACAGAGTGTTCTTAAGAGCAATTGTGACTCATCTGGTTATAAATTGATCTAATAAGGTTGAAGTTGGATTGGTTCACTGCTTGTCGAGGTGTCCTTCAACAACCCCGTGTGGGTGCATTAGTGATCCTAAGACCATTTAAAATTATGATCTAAGTGAAAGGGTGAATGATGTGTAGTCCCTTTGAATCATCAGCAAGGCAAGAAAAAAATGCCCAAAACCTTTGTTTTTCAGTAAATGTATCAAATATATTATCAGTAAATATTTATATTAAATGTATTAATAAGCAAACATGCAAGAAAAAAAAACTATATGACTTTCATTTTGGAGGTCATATGAATTGGAAGCTTGGAGGAAATAAGAATTAATGGCTAAAGTCAGATTTACTACTAGCATCAGAAAATCTGAACTTCTCATAATCCACAGAGTTGCCCCAAATAAAGTAGTTCTGGGTGTTTTTGGCAGCGACTTCAACCCCTTTTAAAAAATCTTGAACAATGTCTCCATTGCTGGTCTGTCCTCCTTTTGATAAATATGAAATGTGATGTGCCATGCAGCCGTTAGTATCTGACTGTCTGCTTACAAATCTCTTGGGTGTTTTCTAATCTTTAGCTCTTATAACCAGAATGTTTCCTGCAACTTGTTCCTAACTCACATATTTGAATCTGTCTGAAAACAGAAAAAAGTTACAATCACTGTTTGAACCTTGATTGTTGAACAGTAAGAATAAAATTCCACCTCTTGTAATTGATAAACAGTAAACAATTTTTTGTGTGTTGGCCAAATAATCATGTGACTGATATGTACATAACTTCAGACTCGGTAGAAAAAACATTTTCATCAAACACACTGCTACACAATCACCAGCCCACAGTTCTAATCACAGTTTAGTTCTCTCTAAAATGCCAAGCTGTCATTTTTAAACAGAAAAGAGGTCCTAACAAAGTTTTTAAAAAACTGTCGCTGTCTGTACAGTGGATCAGATTCAGGGGTTCTATTGGTACTTTTTTGGATCTAAGCACCCCACTTTCCCATATGGCTGGGGGCACTTGAGCATAATATATTGACATCACTTCCCACTGAGCGCAGGGGAGGAGGAGGGAAAGTCTGACTCATCTCTTAGTCGACTGCCAAACTGTGAAAGCAGCACTTCTTTCAGAGCCCCCTCCTTATTCAACACATAGACACCATCCTAAGTGATTCAGCATCAATATTGATCGTGTTCTTCGACACTTAAGACACGCTGCTGTCAGTACACCTCGAACGGTGTTCATAGAATTATCTTTTCAAAGAATAAAAATTATGTTACAAAACGTGCCCCCAGATGTTCATTGTGCTAAAATCTAACAAATAGAATATGCTACAGATCTGTAGTGCCTACACCCTCTTTTGTTGGATTGTTCTGGATCCCATTCTGTATTTTCAGCTGTTTCAGACTTTAAAGCTCACCTCTCTTACAAAATGAAAGTTAGTCATGAAGCACTTGCAGGAAAAAAGTTTTTAATTTTTAAATTTGTGTTTGAGAGCACTCACTTTGAAATCATGAGTGTTTCAGGGTAAAATAAGTATTTTTCTAGGGGCCAGAATTGCTTAAAATTTCTTAAACCCATTTTACAATCCTTTCAGTTTTTACAACCATCAACCATTAAAATCTTTTTTTTATTTTTTTTTTTTATGTTTGTTTACAGGTCGTACAGGGAGATACACTCTGGTAGAGAAATGGCGGGACACAGAACGTCACCTCGCCCCCCACGAGAGCCCCGTTGCTTCTCTAAACACCTGGGGTCAGTATGCCGGTGACGTCCAGCTGATCCTTCACCGCACAGGCCCCTCACTGACTGAGCGACCCCCCTCAGAGGGCCCCCCGCTCAGAGGTCCTGAACGTGGGCTTCATCGTCAAAGTCTCCCTCCTCTTGCGAAGCTTCGTCACCCCGTTGACGGCTCGCTCCACCGCCGTGAACCGCGCCGCAAGTCGCTGACCTTCACAGGTGCACCCAGAAGCCTGAGGGAGATCCTGGGGGGAGGTCGGGTCTCAGAGGCTGAGGGCAAGCGAAGACTTCTAGGGAACGGCGGCAGTCGCCACCATGCGGGGTCAACTGTTGGGACAGCTTCCCCTGGCCTGTGGGCCTGTCGCATGGAGGAGCTGGTCAGACTGGTCAGCCTGCAGAGAGAGACTCTGAACATGCTGGAGAAGAAGCTGGAGGCATATGAGGCAGAGCTCCAAGCATGGCCTGAGCTGCGGGGGAACCAAGGAGGTGGATGCACTGCAGACTTTGGTGGAGGCTTGATAGAGGAGATCCTGAGGTTGGAAAAGCATCTCAGAAAGAACGAGGTGGAAATGGAGGAGGAAGAGTTTTGGGCCACTGAGCTACAAATTGAGTTGGAAAGTGAGAGACAGCTGGAGGAAAGACTCCTGGAGCTTCAGGGGCGTCTGCAGAGCTGCGAGCAAGACATTGAGGAGAAGCTGGCAATAGTGCAGGTGGGCCGTTAGTAAATATTAATCTATATAGTAGGAAAATTGTGATATGGGTAGGCCTGTCACAATAACAAATTTGCTGAGCGATTAATTATCTCAGAAATTATTGCGATAAACGATAATATTGTTTAAAATGTGACAATAATTAACAATTATTGTCAAATTTTAAAAGAAATGTTGGTTACTTTGTTTTGCATGTAGTACCTTTTTCATCCACCGGATGGCAGTATAAGACTGTTTGAACTGAAGGATGGATAGTGAGGGAGTGAGCAGCGTGTCTCTCTAAGAAAAATGGGAGGGAGGCCCCTTGATGTGACATGGGCTCTCTCTCTCCTTCCTTTTTTTCAGTTCTCAAAATGTTGGATGCTCGGTGTGGTTTGAGCTCTTTAGCATAGCATTTTTCACACAAAGCTTTTAATTAAAAAAAATCAGTAAACAAGTTCTCAGCTTCTTTTTGCAGAGAAAAACAACTTTTTACACGAAGGCACGGGTTTAAACTGTGAATTTTGGAGCTTCAACAAGACGGAGGTTTTTCCATGAGGTCGGCCTGTTAGCTTAGCTTCACAGCTTAGCTGCTTTTAACCGTCCAAAAACACGATTTTGGACGGCTAAAATGGATTTTAAAGAAAAAAGAGAAAGGGAGGGGGTCACCCGAGTTTAACCTTTTGTCATCCAGTGTCTTCAGTAGAAAGAGAGACACGAAGAAATGATGAATGAAAATGAGGTTCATAATTTTCATTTATCATGCTATTAATTGATTTATTGTTTATTGCGACAGGCCTAGAAATGGGTTTAATTTTGTAGGCGATTCTTTTTTTTTTTTTTATGTTTAAACTTTTTATTCTGTTCACCCCATCAGGGAGTCGAAGCAGGTCTGCAGGAGGAGAAACTGCAAAGAGAGCGTCAGGAGGACCAGTGGGTCAGTGAGGCCGAGGCTCGGGCTCAGCTGCTCAGGGTCAAAGCAGAGTTAAAGGCTCAGGAGAGGCAGGCCATCCAGCTGGAGAGCAGCTGCAGGGCTGTGGACAGATCGCTGGGACAAAGCAGTAAGAAACTGCAGGTGGGGTTAATGCATGAAGTGACAGCTCATCAACATGTTACCTGTACTGATGATCCATAATGTCCTGATGACAGACCAGTAATCAGCTGGGATGTAACTAAGCTAAATCATCACACACCCTGGTTCTGAATTATTGTTCAAGCCTTTGTTTTGGTCTGTTTACTGGTCTTAAAGTGCATGCAGTGCTATTTCATTTTCTGAGCACCTTTAAATAAACAATGCTAATAAAGTATAATAAAGAAGAAATAATTACTGTATGTAGCTTGTGATGTTTCATGAGAGGTGTGAGGCACAATGTGAATGTGTGTATTCTGGTGTGTGTGTGTGTGTGTGTGTGTGTGTGTGTGTGTGTGTGTGTGTGTGTGTGTGGTGGGGGGGGGTGTAGTAGTTTGCAGGTCAGTGCTGCAGTCTTGTCATCCTTCAACTGCAGGTTGGAGCCCAGGCTGCATCAGGAAGAGCATCCAGCATAAAACAATTACCAAATCTTTCGAATTGAGTTTGTGAAAAAGGGAGTAGCCTAAAGATAACCTTATACAGAATATATAGAAATATTTAAAACAGCTAAACATTAAAACACAAAACTCTGTTCTTTATTGTGAAAACTCTTTCTGGTGATTTCTTGAAGGATATGCAGCAGGAGCTGGAGCAGCTGACCAAAGAGCTGAGGCAGGTTAACCTGCAGCAGTTCATCAAGCAGACTGGTGCCAAGGTCACCGTGCTGCCAGCCGAACCCACCGAAGACGACAACACCAACAGCAGTCGTGGTACGACAAACTGTTTCTGTTCCTCAAATCAGTTTCTTTATTTCAATCACAATATTGGAAGATGCCACTCTCAGAGTATGTGTTGCGCATGACTCTCAGCTACTGCCTCAGATTTTAATGTCTGTAAAATTGAGTTGAAGCCATTTTTTGTGTTCAATCAATGTTGATTAATCAGTTAATCGAGTTGATTAGCTGAAGCCATCTTGAATGGGATCCACTTCCAGAGGTGTAGATGTACATCCAGTAATTTTCTGATTTTTATTATTTTCAAATCCATTGAGTGATTTATAAAATATTTTGCTAGTACAGTAGTCCCTCGATTATCGCAGGGGTTACGTTCCACACATCACCGTGATAGGTGAAAAACCGCCAAGTAGGAACACTATATTTATTTTAGTATTTTTATATGTGTGTGTATATATATATATATATATATATATATATATATAT